AGAAGATTGAAAGAAAGAAGGGAAAAAAAGGGTGAGAAAATGAAATATAATAAAAGGAAGGAAAATTGGACGTTATGTGTCACCTAGAAATAAGAATAAAATAAAACTTTATATATTTTGATTGACAAATATAAATATAAACATTTAATTTTTAATGAAAAATTTTTTTATCTGCCTGCTTGGCCTCTAGGTGAAGCACCATTAGTAATAGCACGAGGTGGATTCTCAGGGCTTTTCCCTGAATCCAGCAGATATGCAAACGACGCCGTAAAACAATCAAACTCCACGGCTGCTTTATCCTGCAGTCTTCAGCTGACAAAAGACGGCACGGGCATGTGTTTGTCTGATATCAGGCTCGACAATTCCACGAACATAAGAACAATTTTCCCAAACCATTCCAACACGTACAACGTTAATGGAAACCAACTCAATGGTTGGTTTGCCCTGGATTTCGCCTCTGATACCATATTAAAACATGTCTCCTGTAAGTCTCCCATTCCGAATCCATGATTTTCGGTTCCAATCACATCGATCTTCAGCTTTGTCATGCTTTTTTATTCTTGTTCTCTGGCAGTGGTGCAGAGCGTATCGACTCAGACGAATGTGTTCGACGGTCGACTGCTGGTTTCTACTGTCGAGGATGATGTCGGAGTTGAACCTTCGTTGTTTTGGTTGAATGTTCAGGTTTCATATCGGTTTTAGTTTATGCAGACATAATATAAGCTGATGAAGACATGGACTAACATGGTTTCTGTAGGTATGTGTTTCTGCACAAAATAATTCTCAGTGTTTGAGTTCCTTGATCCTGACGTAGTTGAACCGACAACGAAATAAAAGTACAGTGCGATCTTAAACGATCTTTCGGGCATCAAGCCATTTGTATCAGGAATTTTCGTCCCGAAAGAGTACATATGGCCTGTTGATGAAAACAAGTACTTGGGAAATCCTACAACACTTGTGGCTGATGCTCACAAGCTTGGCCTAGAAGTATATGCTTCTGGTTTTGCGAATGATATGCCAGGAAGTTACAATTACAGCTATGATCCAACAACTGAGTACTTGCAGTTTATAGATAATCCCGAGTTTTCCATTGATGGACTGCTTACGGATTTCTCCCCTACAGAAACAACCGCCATTGGTATGAGTATTAACCCCTGCATTGCAGTTACATTTTTCGGTTATCATCAAATTTCTTATGAATATGCCATGAATATATGCCTACAAGGCCCAACATTCTCAGTGTATTTGAGGTTTCGAGTAACGGTTCCGATTGTTTTTTTTTTTTTGCAGCATGTTTTGCAAGTGATGAGACCACGAAACCGAAGAAAGGTGATTGTTAAGTTCACCGGATAGTATACACACACACACGAATATGTATACCTGCGATTTTGTGCTTTTACAGGGAAGGCTTTGATAATAACTCACAATGGAGCAAGTGGGATGTATCCTGGTAGGACCGATCTTTCTTACGAGCAAGCGGTGAATGACGGAGCCGACATAATAGACTGCTTGGTAAAAATGTCGAAAGATGGAGTAGCTTTCTGTTTAGATTCAGCCGACCTAATGGGCCATACTACTGCGAGTGCGATGCCTGCATTCGTGTCTCCGTCTTCCTCGGTTCCTGAAGTTCAAAATGACATGGGTATTTTTTCATTTGATCTTACATGGAGCGAGATCCGGACCCTGAAGCTTAAACTTCTCGATCTCGAACATATTTGCTACATACAGTCCTACAAGTTATGTCTGTACAATCTTTCATGATTCTCAATTATCTTTGTTCATTTCAAATGGAAAAGCCCTTTTGAACAAGCAGCAGGTTTCCAGAGGAACCCGGAAGCTAAAAACAAGGGTAAATTCATGACACTGGTTGAGTTCTTGGATCTTGTCAAGGCAAATGCAGTTTCTGGGATTTTGATCAACATACAACTAAGTCTTCCTTTTTTTATTTTATGTTTCAAACTTGGTATCATTCCGACATAACCGATGACGTCTCTCCAGAATGCTTTATACGTAGCATCGAAAAAGGGTCTCGACATTGTACGTTCGATCACCGAGGCCTTGAGTAATGCGACATTCGACAAACAACGAACGCAACAAGTCTTGATCCAATCGGACGACAGCTCAGTGCTCTCCATGTTTCGAGGTGTCCCTGCTTACGAAAGATTGTTACATATCACGAAACCGATAGGCGACGTTCTGGAATTGACGATAAACGAAATCAAGAAGTTAGCCGATGGAGTTGTCGTCGCGAGACCTTGTCTGATTTCTGTCGAAAATGGCTTTACCGAGGCTCGAACTAAAGTTATCGATGAAATGCGCGCTGCGAAGATCTTGGTTTACGTCTCGGGTTTGAGAAACGAATTTGTAGCACTTCCGTTTGATTTTTCTGCAGATCCAACGAGGGAGCTTGCTACTTATGTTGCTGCACTGGAAGTTGATGGGGTTAACACTGACTTCCATGGAACAGCCAGCAGATATGAGTTAGTGCTTCTACTAGTGAACTTACGGTATAATGATATCAATTCAGTTTCTCTCTTATTCTTTTTAGAGTACTTTGCTCCTTAATATTTCATTTTAAGATAAAAATATCACCCAAATAAGAGTTTTTTTGTCATAAAATGGAATATTGGGATACAATACTCTAAAAAAAATAAATGTTAAAGTGACTATTTAATTAAATATTAGAGATTTTTTTGTCCTAAAATAAAATGTTGAGTGTCTAAATACTTCAAACAAAAAATATGGGTCAAAATGACTATTTAATCAAATATTAACCGTATTTTTTGACAATATCTAAAGCTTCTAACATAAAGATTCAAGGCATAATGTCAAACAATACATCTAACATTTGATTGAATAATCATTTTAATTTCTATTATTTTTTAGAATATTTTAACTTCAACATTTCATTTCGGAATGAAATGTCTCCAATTGGATGAAAATCGTTAATTTGATTAACAATTAATAATTTTCGTCGATATAAAAAAATATGTGTCTAAAATACTAACGTAACACGTCATGTGCCACAAGTAATAATATGACACATGTTCAAACGGTAATGTGACGCATGTCATGTGTCCAAAATAATAACATGACGTCATATGACACCTATCATGGAATTATTTTGGATACATGACTTGTCACATTAACAATGTAGATACACAAATATTGACTATTTAGTGAACTAATGATTTTAATCTAACAAAAATATTTTATCTTAAAAGAAAATGTTAGAAGTTAAAATACTTGAAGAAAAATAATATGGATTATAATTATATATTGACAGAATGGTAAGAGTAAATTTTGATAATGTCAGGATTTAATTATGCAAGCAGTGTAAGATGTGGTGGAAAACGATTGTATGCAGGGAGCCCATGTGTGGATCTCAAAGGAGAAATTGCAGCTGAACCAGGTTCACTGCAAAAGCAAGCTTCCGGAGCATCGGCACCAGCGAAACCTCCAAACCCGCCGCTTGAGGTTGCCGATGTTGTCGACCCTTCACTACCGGCAGTCACCAATATATCATCATCTACAGCTTCTTCCCGTGTAGCTGCAAATTCTTCGAGTGGCATGGTAATTGCTGCCAAATTTGGTCCTTGTCTGGCAGTGACTGATTTCTTGCCCTTTTTTATTCGTTTACCCATTTAACATCACATTAGACCTTAAATCCAAGTAATGATCATATTAATTCAACGATTGTAAAGTACACATTTGACTATAGTTTTTCATATTTATATTTACTTCCATGCAACTATAACTAAATCCAACTACTGATTATTTTAATTCAACAAATTTATCAATTTAACCTTAAATCTTATTATGTTTGTTTTGACCCTCAGAACTTCTAACTTTTTTCCAGTTTGATCGAGTTATTAATTGATAAAATTTTGATAAATATAACAATAATGTAAAGATTAAAAAGACTAAACTGGCTTAATACATTTATAATAAACAAGAGGTTTAACATCTTTAGCATTGGTAACCATAATGAAATCCAATATATCTTAAATTTAAAATTTACCATCTACAATCACTTTCTCCACTTCTCCTCAATCGTGGGTATACAAAAAACAATAGATGCCACCTTTCTCCAGCACAAGTATCTCATCTACCATGATGCTTAACTCAAAAGAAAAAACAAGTTCCTGCTCTGATGCCCTAACTTGTACACGGACTCAAAAGGACAGTCACCAAATCTGAGACAGTCTATATGTGCCACTATTTATGACTGGTTCAATGCTACATTCTCTAGTGTATATACACAGTATCAAGAGAAGAAAGTACATGGCGGCAGCATTGTTACGAATGTTATAGTGTTACATGAGCATCCTGGGAGCCCTTATGGGGTCGTATAATTTAAGACCTTGTAATGTATAAAAAATGTGTGTTTACTTGCTGATCCACCTTCGTTTGCGGGCTGGTCTCTCCGGTTTCACCTCAGACACCGCAGGAGTTTCGTTCTTGGTTGAAGGCAGTGGCTCGCTCTCCATCTTCTTTATTGCCAGTGCATCTTTTTCCTTGGGCATTGGAAGTTTGAACCTCTCGCTTCGCTTCTTCAGCTTCTCCACAGTGTCAAGATGCCGATCCTCTGATGGCCTTGTATCAGCATCCTTGGTCTCTGGCTCGCCAAAAATTTTATTGTCAGACGAATGGTTCTCAGCAGGCTCAACTGACGTGCCAGGTTCATCTGGAGTTTTGTTAGATTCTAAAGCTTCTACATTATTGATCTTCTCGATCTCCTTGATCTTTGAGGAGGTTGATGACTTGCTGTTGATACTGAAATCCCTCTCCTTATGGCTTGTCCAACGTTCCAATTTGGAGCGGCCCCGTTTCGACTCTTTCTGCTCATCATCCGAAGAAGCATCTTCTCTATGTTTTCTGGAAGGGTTATAATGAACTGGATTCTCATTCTTCTCATCACTTTTCAAGCCCTAACCAAGTCAAAAAGGTAACAGTAATAATGACACAAAACAAATATACTGGTCATTATATAACAATGTTAATAGATGAGTCAATGCAGCATGATAATTCCATCATTTAATTAAGAAGCGATGCCATATTTAACAACTTACTAAAATTGCAATTTATGATGCATATGAGAAATTTAAAAACCAAAGTACCGATAATTGGTTTTAAATTCAAATCCAACTTTGCTTCATGTTCAATCTAGATAATGTTATCTGAGAAAATAAGCTTACCGTCAATGGTAAATTACCATTTTCTTTCAATAATGAAACCTTTACATGTTAAAATAAGAGTAACTATGTTTACAAAGTTAAAGAAGATTTACCGAGAAATCCGCTTCCCTCAATCCAAACTAAGTCTTATTGCAAATAAATACAATATTGAATTCATAGCCAAACAGCGGGACCACAGAATTCAAATTGCAAGCTTCACCAACAAAGACGACGACGACGACAGCAAAATACTATGATAAAGCAAAGTTGCTAATTTTTTTTTTATAGAAGTTGGAGTTCTCATTAAAAACTCTCTTCGTATTCGTTCACATACTAAAGGTATGTTAACGAACATTGGAATGAAGAAAAGAGTATCTCAAATTTTATTGATAAAATACCCGATACAAAAGAAACCACGGAATATCCTCTCATGGTGATGTACACCATTACAATAAACACCTTAACCTCATATGACCTCATCCAAAGCCACAGCCTAATCACCTTACTTCTAATTACACCACCAGCAGTAGGAATAAAACAACGCAACAGAACATAATACAAATTAAAAGCAACACCTACAACTATATAGACTAAAACAACCACAATTGAAGAGACAAAATCTAATGAGACTCGTCTTATTCAGGAGCCCAAGAGTTTGGTTTGAATGAAGGTTCTATCTCATGCACCATGACCTTGAAGAAGTTATCACCAACCTTCAATTCCACCATCGCATCAATCCTCGCATCAGCCTTTGTGAGGAATTGAATTTTTGCCCGATCAAAGGATGATGGAGATTGACAACTTTCGTCAATAGCTAGTAATAAACCCCACTTATCAGCAATGTTCTTGAAAGTATCCCAATTCCATGCGTGAAAAGAAACACCCTCGCAAACTAACCATACTCGACGACACTCCATTACCAAACTCTTTGACCAAGCTTCGACTATGGAGAACCACTCTGCGAAAATCTTTGATTTATCGTTCTTCACACTTCTCAATGAAGCATTGTCTTCGAAAATCATTAAAATCGCATTACCAACAGCTCTCATTAAGGTGAAGCCAGTGAGGCCCTTCGCTTGCATTTGTCTGGCCAGATGACCAATTTTGACAAAATTCTTGCACCACCCCACTAGACAATTGCTTAACACCTGAAATTTTTCTTCATCTATAACACCTTCAACTTTATAATGATTCTTCCTCGAAACATCTTTCATGACTTGCGAAGAACACCAGTCGAGGACTTTCTCCAAAAGGACTGTCGAGGTTTGAATTTAGCTAAATAAACACAAATTTTGCTTCCGTCGATATGAGAACCATTCATTTTTGAGATCGCTCTCCTTGCTTCATCGATAGTTGCGAAGCGAATGAAACCAAAGCGAACTCCTTTTGAATTTCTTTTATTTGGAATAGAAGCAAGCATCAAGAACCCGACCATGGGAGCGAAATAAAGATCCAAACCTCTTCCATTGAATGTTCTCTAGTAAGTTATCAATAAATAACGTGTAGCATCCAGTCTTATCATTACTGCACCCCTTTGAGGTGGACTCCAACAGCATCCTCTCATATTTTTCCCCTGCCGCAATCGTACACTGCTTCTCTTTGGCCTTCTCCACTATCTTTGAAGTCGGCGCCTGCTGCTCCACTCTCTGTTTATGAAGTTCCGATTCCGTAATCTTCGGCACCAAAATCTCCACTCGATTAGCCTTCTTATCCGGAATTTTCAAACTTTTTCCAGCCTCTTTATCCCCACTATTGGACTGACGGCCAGCCTTAGCCCCGAGAGCTGCGGCTTCAACCCTCATCCCATCTTCTTCCTCGCGTTTCTTGGTCACCTTTCCTCCAGCACATGGACATCATAACTTGATGGACGAACTTCTTTAGGAACGGAAGATGAATCTACTGTCTCCCTCCCAGCTGCAAGCTTGTCATCGACAGATTTCTTTAAGGTTTCTGCATCTTGCACAGCTTCTCTTGCTTCCCTTAGTTTAGCTGAAGACTCTTTAACGAGCCGCTCAATATCAAGCCTTGTCTTATGCAATTTGTCACGTAATTCAGCGGTGTCTTTAAGTGAACCGAGGGAATTAACAAGGCGATCAAATGCCACAATAGCAGTTCGTATCTTGGAAATCCCCACCTCCACAGACTGCGAAGCCGAAGCATGTTCTGCAGCTAGCCTTGGCTTTTGCCGAGAGGACTTGTAATGGTGAGGGGTAGCAAGACCCACTTCAAGTTTCCGGGAACTCATTTCTTTTGTGTTGCTTTATCGTTGAAGAAAAGCAAAGGAAGAAAGGGTGATGAACAGAACCAAAACTGCAGCTAAAGATCAGCGGCGAACGTGGCTGACTTGATTGCTCTGTGGAGAGACGACAGACGCAAGGAGATGGAGAAAAGCAAAGTTGCTAATCAATGAAAAGAAAAATTCACGTCCAAGGTTCCATAAGCTTTGTAAATAGCAGCAAATTATACATATTTGCTTGCTGAAACCGCTACCCAAAGATTGCATGATAAGAGAAATTCTGACAGAATAGTGTGTTCTTCTTGGGGCAATATATATAGAAAGGGAAAAAAAATCCACAGTTCGAAAAGGGGGCAGGGGGACACTGCTCCATAAATGGAACCTACCATAACAACAAATCATATTCCTGGAAAAAGATTCATGAGTTGAGTGGATTAAATTACTCTCGATTTAAAGGTAAAATGTCAGGGACACAAGACTTATGCAGGTAACAAACACAGTTCTCCAAACTGTAAATAGTAAAACAGAGATATGCATGCACGTGCTTATTTATTTAAGGATTTTTAAGACATTGCGATCAAGTGATTAAAACCAGAATCTCTAATTTTAAAGAAACTGCGCCAACTTCAATAGAAGATTACTTTATATAAGTAAAGCACATGTTTGGCTCATTTCAAGAAAATTGCTGTATTATTTTTCTCCTTATTACTAAAGAAATATTATGTCCTAGTCTACGAAACATACCGTTTCGGTGAAGTGACCACTTAAATCTTCTTGATTTCTCTTAGCAGAACCTAAACTGATGGGATCTCCACCTTCAGATTCTCTACCCTTCCTATTATTTTCTTTATGTTTCTTCTCATGCCCCCTTTGGCTATCCGAAGCATTGACAGCATGCTCACTCTGGGTGCTTGTCCTTTCCTGCCTGGATTTTCTCTCATCATTGCTAAATTGGTGTCCCCGTGCATAGGAATCTTCACGCCCTCTATGGCGTGAGAAACTTTCATCACCATTCCGATCCCTTCTTTTCACCTGTTCACTGTGGCGTACTGTCTCTTTGAGTTGGTATTCCTTTTCAGAAACTTTATGTTCATCCTTTTTCCTAGAGCGTACAACCCATGCTTTGTCCTCTGAACTACGTCTACTCCTTGCAGTGGCTTGTCCTTCTTCTCTCTCCCGTTTTGATAAACTTTCATCATAGGCTGGCTTTGGTCTATGCATTCCATCTCTATCCCGCTGCTTCTCAACCCTCTCTCTGTGCAACCAAACCCCATCTTTGTCCCGAGCAGACTGATGATCAAAATTGTCTCCAATTCTTTGCTGCTCAGCTCTCTTACGCAGTTCTAAAATTTCATCCCTTTCTTGCTTTCTGCGACTGCTGCTGTATTCTCTGTTGCCATGCAAGATCACCTCTTTGTCTGCATTACCCCTCCTGAGATACTCCTCATCTTTCCTTCTTTTGCTGTCATAATCATCTGCTGTTTCATATCTACTCTTCACATTATCACCTCTTTCCCTATGTCTAGGGCTGGCATCCTTATCATGATGAGCCTTATAAATGCCATCATCCAATTGTTTTCTAGAAGGTGGATGATCTTCTTTGTCACTCCTCTCACTTTCACGAACCTTAGCCCTGTTCCTAGAACCCATTTCATAGTCACGCTCTCTCTTCCGTGAGTCCTCAGTTCTACTTTTTCTTCCATTAAAATCATCTCTCTGTTGCCGTGCAACATCAAGAATACCACTCTCCCTTCGCCTGTCAAAACCCTCCATTTTGATGTGCAAATTATGTGATGAGCCAGCATCAACGTCTCCAGAAGGATAAGAGCCTTCTCTTGGTTTACCTACAATTTGGCTTCTTTCAATCTCACGTCTTGAATCAGAATCTTTACGCAGTAAATTCTGATCATGTTCATCAAGACGTTTTTTGCCAATTGGAATTCGAGAAGAACGACCACCTTGAACAACTTCATCATCGGCACCGTCTCGCCACTTCTGATAATCTCTGCTGCTGCCAGATCTTGCTTCATTGTTTTCAATAATTCTTGCAGCCATAGAATCCTCACCACCTTCATATTCTTGAAGCTTCCGTCGGTGTACTTGAGAACTCATTTTTCCATCAAGTGGATTCTCATCACTGTGGGTGTCATTCATTAGCACATCTTTTCCTCTATCAGGGCTTCTACCAGCCAATTCAAGCTCATCATCATCACCACCCTTGCACTCCACACTTATCTCCCTGGCATCTCTAACCAGGTGAGGAGATTTGTGATCCATGCTGTCAACAGATTCTTCCTCATCAGAATGGGTGTCACTGAACTTATCCTGTTTACCTCGAATAGGTGTCATGTTAGGGGATCTCTTACGTGCTTTTCCCTGTCTATGCCTGCTTGAAGAAGAGGGTCAGTGGCACTTATTCATGCATTGTAGTATTACCACCTAAATAACAAACTAAGACTTCAAGCTAATGAAAACCATAAAAGTAATCAAATACAATAAAGAAATCCTAGCTCAAAGTTACAAGCAGCCTTTTACACCAGCTTCTCTCTCTTACTTCCAAAGAATGAAATGGATTATGAAAGCATGGAATTCATCTATGTAACCAACTCATCGGCAAACAAAAAAGAGTTAATGATAACAGCCACTTGAATTAATTTCCCATGACAGTACAACATTCTAGAAAGTTACACATCAGCTTAAAAAAACAAACTGCCACCGCTAAAAATAAGTCAAAGGCATAAGTATCTCTATTAATTACTTGAACTGTTGAACATACAAGTAACATAGGACAATTTTTATCGCTCAATGATAATAAGGAACTACTACCAACTCCATTAGTTTTCACTATGGCCATCTTGATCATATTTTTTTCACTTCAGATAAATAAATAATAGGACAGGGTATTATTACAAGGCATATTCTAAGAGCTGCTAATTGGGAAGCGGATGAGTTAGCTAAAGTTGGTATAGGTTGATTTATAGGTTATGTGTAGCGGTTCTTAAGGTGCTGTGCTTGGTTTGTATCTCTTAAGGGTGTGTTGGTTTAAGTATTATGTAATCAGTGTTATGTTTTAAGTGTTATGTGTAAGCAGTTAGTGGTTAGGGACTGGATGTGTATTATTGTTCAGATTAATAAAATTCAGAGGCACTCTTTTCCTCCTTCCTACGTCCTTCATGTTACTATTGTAACATGTAGGGTATGAAAGGGGTTTTAATGAGGCATAATCTTCTATCAAAAAAAAAACTACCACACCATTTTTTATGACTCTCAATATCCATCAAGTTCATGCATAGCTTCTCAGGGCACACAAAAGCAGGTTTAATAGTATTTAACAATTAACATAGAAATTAATGCATCCATTTCACTATAAAGAATAACCAGCTTGTCCCAACTACATCTTGCTTATATTTTCCACATGAAAGATGTCAATGGAGAAGTAAACAAATTAGAAGTTAGGAAAAGAACAGAATTAATCAAATGTAGGGCTGCCAAATGCTTCACCATGCTACATATAGCATCATAGAATCACAGAACATAGATGATATTAGATGATACTATTAAGCAAAAATAAATGACAGATTAATTGAAGATTAATACCTCTCATCATTAGGGCTGCCAAAGTTCCCATTATGATAGATAGGACTCTGACTCTTAGATCCAGGACCATAACGACGATATGCTTCCGCGGAGATGGGAAAAATCCCATCATCTTCAGGCACACTACTCCGAACAGGCTCCCTCTTTCGACTACTATAAGCATTTGGAAAACCATTAACATATTCAGTTTCTTCATGCACGATATTGGTGAAAGATGCAAGATCTTCCCTAGTATCCTCCCTTTGCAGATCATTTTCTATTTGGACTTCAACAGCATTGCCTGTGTAGGAATCATCGTCTAGAGTATCCTGACAAACAATCTGTTTACACAAATAAGAGTTAAAACAATTTTGCATAGGCAGCAGATAGATACTAAATAAGACTTGGGCTAAGTGCAATTGAAACAACGTTTCACTGCTAACCTCAATAATTGCATCTGAATCACGCATGCGAGGTGGTCGAGTATCAATGGAGGGAGTTCCCCAGAACCTCCTTCAACCTGTATCGCTCTCCCAGTTGGCTGGTACAATAAGTAAAAAAAGGTATGTTATCAAACAAATAATACATGGATTTGTTCATGTTCATCGCACTCATAGTAAGATAGTTAATATTGGAGTATTGGACAACGGAAGAAAAGCTACAGGCACAGATCAAGCACATATCATAAGAGCCAACAGTACAAGCACTGGCAGATCTACATATTAGGGTGGGCACCCTGGAATTTGAATTTCCTTCGGTTAGTTATTTACCCTGAGATTTTACTGTGCCTATCCACATACAAAAATTGTGTTATTAATGTGTGCCCACTCTAAAAAATATTTATGGATCCGCCACCGAGTACAAGAGAAGTATTTATAGAGAAAATAAAAGTATGATTGAAGAATCTACATCTAAAAGATGACTTTTATAATTATAATGCATGTACAGTAAAGCCAGTAACTGAAGCGTACTATAGGAGGTCGCATGCAAGCAGTTCCTTTGGTCAATCATTTGTCCACCATTTGACTTTGCAAAATTAGCGGCATCAGCAGGAATCTCTTGCCCAGTTGCTGCTGCCAATTCTGGAGGCAAATCTGGATCATAATCCTAAAAGAAAAACCATGGCAATTATTTTAGACCCTTAATGGCAATTGCAGAACCGTAGAAAACATGGCATCAATACAAGCACTTAACCGTTCAAGGTTCATTTGAAGGAAAACATTTTTTCAGACATGCATAAGAAAGCAACTAATTACCTGCTCTGTTCGCCCACTTTCATAAACGAATTTGCTTTGCATTGTTGTCTCCAAGCGACGTTGTTCCTACAAGATTTTCACATTCAACCCCAAGATCTTAGTTCACACAAATGAAATAATCAATTAAGTTAATTACCAGTTGCTTGCAATAATCTTTCCAGCTCTCCTCATGCAGACCAAAGTTGAAGAAATCCGAAAGATCAACACCGGGATATTTCCACGGCTTTTCCTCAAAACTATCAATGTCCACTTCAAATATAGTCCTGAATTCGCATAGGGGTAAATTAAAATTAGTCAGGAAAAAACAAAGAACGAAATTAAGAGTATGCACACGATATTTGAAAAATGAAACACAACAAATTATGACAGAAGCTGAAAGTCATCTTGCAATAAGCAATTTGTCTCAATTACTCCAGATTCAGCTTCTATGAGCGAAAATTAAGGAATTTAGTATACCATGCACAAAATCACACTATCAACTAATGACAAACAATACATAATTATAGAAAATGAGCAATTACTTGTGAGAAGGAAGTGTGAAATCTAATCCACCACCAAAACCTCGCCCCATATTGTTACCCCAACCAGACATTCCAAAACTAGGATGGAAGCCTTTTTGCATGGGAAGACCAGCTTTCAGTTCAGGTGGTCTCCAATCACCTCTACCACGACCAACCATAGCACCCATGACTGGACGAACCTGAGCTGGAGCACCTCCAGGACCACCTGCAGTGGCTCCAGGCATTAGTGCTGCACCGGGTCTTACATACTGCATGAAGCAGAAAATAGATCATGTCATTTATCAGAAACCAAATTGAAAAAAACAGCCTAACCACATATAAAGGAATGGGACGTTTGTCCAACAACGCAGTTTTTTTCCGGTTCAGCTATAAAAGAGTATACAACATATGACGAGAAGCTTGACATAGATCCAATAAGCTTTCCATGAGATAATATAATCAAGATTAAGGCCAACAATAGCATCATATAACCAAATACCAATTTTAATGAAAGAGTGTTATATCAAAATTGCTTTATAGCAAGCACGAAGACAATATACAAATCAGAAAACAAGGACATAAACAAGTGCAACCAAAATGTCCATTATACAATAAGAATATCAAGCTGGAAATAACTTAACCTCTGTGACCAATGACAGGTTAAGTAAACCAATTAACCGATATTTGAAAATGGTTCTGGAAAAGCATAAAGAGAAGAGCTTTCATCAAAGGTTCACACTTGATCTTGTTTATATTTCAAGAAATAGAAACATCACACCTTTAACTAAAATGTTTCTGTAGTTACATCTCTTTTACCAATAGGTTATTTACACTTTAACTTTGCAGAAAAGTCTAGATTTTCTTTCGAGCAAAAATTACTTGACAAAAAATAACTAGTTCCGAACATATTTGTTTGTTTTCAACGGATATTACCAAGAATTATTGGTGTATGACACACAAAATATGAACAGATATGTCTTCACATATTATGCCAACAAATGCTTTAACTGTAGCTGTAGTTTTGTACCACGTCCACAAAGGTTTTACTATTGAAACCATTACTAATATGCCCCAGAACATCCAAAAAACAAAACTTATGATGAAACAATTTTCTTTTAAGTTGTCGATTCAAGTTTAGGTTTAGGGATTGCTGAATCAAATCACCCTTTCTTACAATTAGTGTTGCATTAGTCAACAATTGGAGGAAAGTTTGATTCTTGAAATAGGTGAGATTTGGAGCAAAACTATAATTTAAAAGTTAATATTGATAGATGTACTTCCGAGCGTACCCCAAGGCGTCATCATAGGCTCACAAAAAGTTTGAGGGTTTAGTTCAAGGATAAACATAATGATTTCTGACTGCAACTTATGATCCTCAATATTTAAACATAAAATCGAAGCAGAAAAATCAAAATATAATTTCCACTTGCTCACAATTTTTCTTTAAAAAAAAAACTTCTATTTATCATCCCGTTCATTACAGTGTTTACAAACCAGTATCTAAAGTAAATTCCTAAACATTCACAAAGTCGGGGCATAAAACAAACAAAAACCCCAACTTTTGCCTAAACATTTCCATATTGCTTAATTCAACAACAGCATCGACATGATAACACACTAACCTTAAACTGAGAATGAAATGGATGGAACCCATGGCTGCTGTACCCAATTTTTGGCGCAATCACGATCCCTCCGCTGCTGCCAGGAGTGCCAACCTTCCCTACTTCTCCCCCTTCTTTCCCTTCTCCGCCCGCCGCCTGCCCTCCTCCTTCACCCCAATTCTGTTCCTCCGTCCCTTGGTTTGCATCTCCATCGGCAACTATCACAAGCGGATCCCCATCCTCATCGTCGTCGTCATCTGCCGCCATCATTCCTCCTCTCTCCATAGATATAGGCCTGTGGTTGTTGTCGTTCAACACTATCTGTAGATCATCTTCACTGTCACTATCCCCATCATCCCCTTCCCCTCCACCTCCGGCTTCCACTTGACCTCCGCCTTCAATTCCATTATCGTTACCATCATCATTCCTCCCCGAATCTCCCTGGCGAACCGATTCGGTTAAACCCGGAATAATCGGGTCATCCGAGCCCGAACCCTCGATTGCGTTACTACCCCCATCTTCAATATCAAGCAAAACATCGTTCCCATCAGCGGGTTCTTGTTTAAAATCCAAAACCATTGGTTCGGGAGCTGAACCATCGCGTTTAGGGATCGAAGTCAGAGATGCGGCTGGCGCAGCGGTAGGATGAAACTTAAAGGGCGCCAGGGTTTGAGCATCGGGGATTGAAACTGGTGCTCCGAGGAGGGTATTGTAGCCATATCGGGAATGATGATTGGAATCAATCGGACGGTGGAGATGGGGGGTCGGAGGAGGGTGAGACAGCGGGGGAGCAGCAGAGGAAGAGAAAGGCATGAGAACGTCGGTGTAAAGATCTCCGAACTCATCGTCATCTTCCATGGGAATTCCTCGAAAGAAGAAAGATTCGAAGAGAAGGGTGAGCTTGTCCAAAATAAAAAAAAAATAGAGTGAAGGGCGAGACGGGAAACGCAAAGAGAAACGAAAGAAACAAAAAAAGAGTTAGGGTAAAGGGCTTTGATTTTCTATGATCTATTGTTTACACATTCTTATTAGTTTAAGAGTAGGGGTGAAAGAAACAAATACATAATCAGTTTTTTTGTGAGCAGTTGTATTTTTATTTTTATATTTTTAATTACATTTTTTTGGTACATAATTTTAATTACATTTTGATTATTTAATTATTAATTTATTATTTTTTAAGTACACAAATGTGTCTAAAAATGTAGAGTATTATTTTATTGAGTCAATCGTCTATTTAGTTATAAATGGTTCTCTAAGTATAAAATATCATTTTGTATTGTGGAGTATTTCAACCATTAAAAGTTATAAAATGGTCATCTGACTATTCTTATATTCAAAACTCGTCATTTTCTGTTAAAAAAATTGGCGATCATTTAAATTGGACGTTAACCAACTAGCAGGAATATGATAAAATCTAATCCCAGAATCTTTTGAGTCGTATTTTATGAATCGATTTTATGTTTATATTATGTCATCGAGCTAGAGGTTGAAATATTATATTGTCGAGCCAGTTCCAGTAAACATCATTAAATATAATTTTATCATATTTCGATCAGTAGATTAACGTTCAACTCATACGATCATCAATTTTTTAACGAAAAATAACCAGTTTAAAATATATAAATAATCGAGTGATCATTTTGTAACTTTTAATAGTCGAAGAATCAATAAAGTAATGTACTATAATCGTGAGATCAATTATATACGTTATCACATATTTTAATTATTAAATTCTTAAATTTTGTTATTTCAATAGTAGAAGTTTAGTCTGACACGAAAAATAATTAAATATATTTAAAATTTTTCTTTCCTCTCTCTTTATTCTTCAAATAAAAAACTCTTACTTTTTTAATACAATAATGAGGCCGAAACCAGTTACGCATTTAAGCGCACATAAGGAGGACCGTTGATGTCACGAAATAAGATCGGCGAAAAAGCTGGCGGGGGTGTTTAAAGACTTGCAGAGTATAGGTAGACATACAACTCATCTGGGCCATGTGATCGGCTACCATATTTGCTTCGTGATGCATACAAGAGAAATCAACATACCAAGCTCTCTTGCAAAGTCCATATATGTCACGTACAAGGGAGAAGGGGCAGTCAGGAAGAGGTGAGGATAGGGCTGGCAATTGTGAGTAGATTATCCACCCACCCGTCCTCGAATAAATGGATAAAAACTCGCTATGAAACGGGTGATTGACGGGTGATGAGTCAGGTCGAATATGGATGAAATTTTTTTGACCATCACCCGTAACATCTATCCATATATATTATATTATATATATATTATATTATAATATATCCATTCCTTTTATAAGTCAACTAATTGTGTGATTATAATAGTGTAGCATTTTATTTATGCTTATTATTAAAATTGTCGTTTTTAAATAGGAAAAAGGAAGACGGGGTTTTAAGGAAAACGGTTTCTTTAATTGAGGTGAACCCTTGCTTGGTTGTTTTATTACTATCGGTTTTGGTAGATATATATTTTTCTCGTATTTTTTTGGAATAAAGAAACGTGTTTTGATTTTTTTTATGATATTTATGGATTTTTAAAAGTAATTTTTTGTCGTACTTTTTTTTTTCAAAAGTAAAACATGAAACTTATAAATTATGAATCGAAACGATGATTTGATTGTTATATGAATAACGTACATAACGTTGTATTGAAATGACTATAAACGTAGATAGCTATTTGATACAAAACAGTTTTAAAAACTATTTATATTAAACTTTTTCATATTAATAATTATTAAGAGAACATAATAATATATAAGAGAAAAGTTCATTAATAGTTGATTGGAAAGTAGTGTAATAGTATAGAATTGTGTGTTTATGATTGATTTTAGGGAATTATTTATTACCGTGTTCAATATTTTAATGTATAAATTTACAAGTGGTAATATATGTTTTAAAGACTTTCAATCATTTGACACTGAACATTCAAATATTTTGTAGTCTCTGATGCTCGAATTTGATGAAAATTTATTGTTCATGTTTTGGTTTCTATGAATGTTTGAGTATCAATGTTTGATTTCTATGAATGTTAGAAGAATTTGAGTTTAAGATGTTAAAATAGGTTTTGTTCATATTATCATCCATTTCTCATCCGCTCCACCCGCGGATGATGGATGGAGCGGATATGGATGAAATTTTTTGTGGGTGATGGATGGTGTGGATGGAGATTTGGACCGCAGGTGATGGGGTGGATGAAGCTCCACCTGACCCATCTCCGATCCATTGCCAACCCTAGGTGAGGATAATAGCTCATAAGCATCCGAGTTATCCGTTTGAACCGTGATTTATTCATGACCGAGATTCCAAGCAGTAAGAGACCTTCATGAATGGCTAATAATTCAGCATGAAGAATTGACGAAGGTTCAATGCTTTTACAATAGGACAAGATGAAGTTGCCACGATAGTCACGAAGTGTTCCTCCAATCGAATACCAATTGGCCGACAACGAGACAGCTGCATCAGAGTTGAGACAAATCCAGCCAACTTGGGGGGCTGCCATTTGAGCAAAGCAGCAGACTGGTTTACTGATGCAGCATAGTGTGGTAAGGAGGTAGCAGTCAACTTAGCCCAAGAAATTGATAAATGGAGAATAGTCTGGGGAGATAAGATCGAGCCTTGGAACACGGACTGGTTCCGATTTTTCCATAATTGCCAAGTAACTGTAGCGAATAAGATGTTCCAGGGGACACCAATTGGAGTGAGTCGCGAGGAATATGCTAAATTATGAAGCAACCAAATATCAAAAGGCTGTTGAAAGAAGGTGATTGAGCATCGGCTTTGGGGTAACAAATGCCACATTTCAGTAGCAGGTGGACAATCTCGCAAGATGTGGAGGAGAGATTCCACCGGTTTGTTGCAAGTATGGCAAGCCTGGTCATGAGTCAAACCACGACTAATTAATTAGTTTGGAGACGGTCTTGAATAGCTAGACAGAGAAAACATCTTATTCTTTCCGGAACTCAAATTTTCCATATTAATTTCCATTTGGGGTTATTGTCTTCCCAAGAAGATTGAGCGAGTTCCGTATATACACTCTCTATGCTAAAGATCCTTTTACGATTTGCTGCCCAATAGCAGAAGTCTTTACCCCGATTAGTCGTCGGAGTGGAAGTATTAGGAATAAAGGAGAGAACAATCGATTGAATTAAATTTTGTAAGAGGGGCCAATTCCAATCACCAGAATCATTACAAAAATCAGCCACGCTGAGAGAAGAAAGGATTTGCGTACCTGGAATTGTCCATTGTCGTAAATGATGTGATCCAATTTAGCACTAAAACGAGAAAATAACTTCAGTGACCGAAAATGCCTTATAATATACGATTTTAACAA